TACAATCTCTAGGCCAGCCTTTCTCAACCTTTTCAACACAGAGGAACCCTTGAAATAATTTTCCAGGCTCAGGGAACCCCTTCTAAAAATTACTATATCTACATCTCATGATACATTAGTGTTATATTCAGTGAGAAGAATGCTCCTTTCACTTGTGGTCATTGGGAAGAATTACCCCCTTACAAAAAGGTAAAAAGAGCAATGGTGCCAGAGGGAACTAATCTGAAAGACAGAAATTGCTCATTGCTCAAGGAACCCCTAGCAACTTCTGGAGGTACCCTAGGGTTCCATGGAACCCTGGTTGAGAAACCCTGCTCTAGAGGTTCATTACCTGTAGGAGAACACTGTCTCAGGAGTCCTCAGTTTATTTAGAAAGGTTTATTTTGATTTTTATGAAGAATCTGCTTTTTTTTTTATCTATGTCTAGTCGCAGACCAATGCTATACTAACTGGAAGTCTAAGGAAACATCATAAAAACCTTTCTCAACCAAGATTCTGTAGAACCCTAGGGTTCTTCCTGAGGTTGTTAGGGGGTTCTTGAGCAATTAAATTGATAATTTTTACCCCTTCTATAAATAACCACTGATATATTTGATCTTTCTAGTTATCTGTAGGAGGAGCAATATTCCCACTGATGACCAATGAAAAGACAATTTACTCTTCTCCCCACTGACCACCAATGTAAGGAATATTCTTTCCACTGACCACCAATGTAAGGAATATTCTTCCCACTGACCACCAATAAAAGGAATATTCTTCCCACTGGCCACCAATGTAAGGTAAGGAATATTCTTTCCACTGACCACTAATGTAAGGAATATTCTTCCCACTGACCACCAATGTAAGGAAATATTCTTCTCACTGACCACCAATGTAAGGAATATTCTTCCCACTGACCACCAATAAAAGGAATATTCTTCTCACTGACCACCAATGTAAGGAATATTCTTCCCACTGACCACCAATGTAAGGAATGTTCTTCCCACTGACCACCAATGTAAGGAAAATTCTTTCCACTGACCACCAATGTAAGGAATATTCTTTCCACTGACCACTAATGTAAGGAATATTCTTCCCACTGACCACCAATAAAAGGAATATTCTTCTCACTGACCACCAATGTAAGGAATATTCTTCCCACTGACCACCAATGTAAGGAATATTCTTTCCACTGACCACCAATGTAAGGAATGTTCTTCCCACTGACCACCAATGTAAGGAACATTCTTTCCACTGACCACCAATGTAAGGAATATTCTTTCCACTGACCACTAATGTAAGGAAAATTCTTCCCACTGACCACCAATAAAAGGAATATTCTTCTCACTGACCACCAATGTAAGGAATATTCTTCCCACTGACCACCAATGTAAGGAATATTCTTTCCACTGACCACCAATGTAAGGAATGTTCTTCCCACTGACCACCAATGTAAGGAAAATTCTTTCCACTGACCACCAATGTAAGGAATATGCTTCCCACTGACCACCAATGTAAGAGCATTCCTCCCACTGACCACCAAGAAAAGGAATATTCTTCTCACTGACCACCAATGTAAGGAATATTCTTTTCACTGACCACTAATGTAAGGAATATTCTTCCCACTGACCACCAATAAAAGGAATATTCTTTCCACTGACCACCAATATAAGAGCATTTCTCCCACTGACCAACAATAAAAGGAATATTCTTCCCACTCACCACCAATATAAGAGCATTTCTCCCACTGACCAACAATAAAAGGAATATTCTTCTTATTCTTCCCACTGACCACAAATGTAAGGATCATTCTTCCCATTGACCTCCGATGTAAGGAACAATCTTTCCACTGACCACCAATGTAAAGAGCATTCTTCCCACTGGCCACCATTATAAGGAGCATACTTTCCATTGACCACCATTATAAAAAGCATACTTTTCACTGACCACCAATGAAAGGCACATTTTTTTCCCACTGATCACAATTGTAAGGAGCACTCTCCCCTTTGCCATCAATGTAAGGAACACTCTTCCCACTGGCCACCAATGTAAACAGCTTTTTTCCCACTGACCACCAATGAAAGGAGCATACTCTTCATTGACCACCAATGTAAGGCACATTTTCCCCCTGCCATCAATGTATAGTTCATTCATACCACTGAACACTAATGTAAGGCACATTCTTCCCATCTATGCAAGGAGCAATACTTTACATTTAGCACCAAGCTAAGGGAGAATTTCCCACATTATCAACAATAAATTATTTTGTCATATAGAGCAGTCCTGGGTGTCAGGTATGCTTCATTCCTTACTCTTTTATTTATTCCTATATCCCAACCTACATCAATGCACTGTGAGCTGTACATACGAGTGTAACTATTACGTCTCTGAGAGCTATCAGTTATCATTAGGGTTCCTACAATTATATTAATATCAGGAAGTTTCATTATTCAGAAAATGACTTCATCTTTTTCTCTGTAGCTGGGTTATATCAATATGCTATAAGTGGCGTAATGGATGTGATTACAATATGTATGTCAAGGCTTTAGAGACTATACATTCACTTTTTATTAAAGTTACACCAAAAAAAAATCTTTATTCTCCAAATATCAACATTACGCATCCACTACTTAACGGCCCTGTGAACTATTTTTTCTTTTTATTAAATTGTTTTATTGTTGTGTTTTTCTGCCTTCTTGCAACATCCTCTGTGAGCTCCCAAACTTTTCATTTTCCCGCTCACTTGCATTTGTTTGAAATGAACAGTATATGTTAGTTGTGGTCTTGGGTCTACTCTATGCACACTACAAATCCCATAATCCATAGTCCATAGTCTATGTCGGGAGCAAGCAAGAGAGGGTGGTTATGTTTCTACATAAAGTGGGACCATGGAGAACAAACGTAGCCACCCTCTAACAGGAAGCTGGATCACAGCACCAAAAAAGGAGGAGGATAAGAGCAACAGAAGATACTTTTTGGGTTAAGAATACATACATATTCACTGTATGCTGACTTATTGAGTGTCTTTATTTACAAAGAGTGGAAAAGTGCAATGGTTAAAAAAGATGCACAATATGTGAAGAATATTTTTAATAATTAAGGAGTTAATTAAAAAAAGACATAAATTAATAAATAAAATAGAGTATTTAATAAAAAAAAAATAGTCATTAACAAATAACTAAAATCAAGTTGTTAATAAAAAAATTAGTCATTAATGAACAAATGAAAATTGAGTAATGAAATAAAAAAAAAGTAATTAACAAATAAATAAAACTGAGCAAATAAATACAAAATGGAGTAATGAATGAATAAATAAAATGGAGTACTTTTTTTTTTAATGGAGTAGTTAATGAATAAATAAAATGAAAGTCATTAATTAATAAAAAAAAAAGTAGTAATTCAAGAATAGATAAAATTGAGTAATGAATTTTAAAAAATGGAGTCATTAATGAATAGGTAAAACTGAGTAATGAATTAATAAAGAATTTAGAGTGGTGGGGTTGACCTGCATATAGTAACGCCTGTCACATCCATTGTGCCATTTATTATTAAAGGATTAAAAAGATTAAGCTAATATATTGTATATATAATATATATATATATATATAATGCACAGTACAGACACACTGTAATATATATATATATATATATACATATATATACACAATTTTATTTATTTATTTTAATTCTGTATACAGATATATGACTCCCTGTGTATATATATATATATATATATATATATATATAGTACAGTAAAGTACATATGTACACTGTATTATATATATATTTGTTTTTTAAATCTATATACAGTTTATATATCTCTCTCTCTGTATGTATGTATATTTTATATATATATATATATATATATATATATATATATATATATAAAACTAGATAACTGTATACACATATATGTATATTAGAATTAAAAATAAATAAATAAATAAAAAGAATTTATATAAAACTAGATAACTATATACATATATATGTATATAGAATTACAGTAAAGTACATATGTACACTGTATTATATATATATTTGTTTTTTAAATTCTATATACAGTTATATATATCTCTCTCTCTGTATGTATATATATATATATATATATATATATATATATATATATATATATAAAACTAGATAACTGTATACACATAAAATGTATATTAGAATTAAAAATAAATAAAATAAATAAAAAGAATTTATATAAAAATAATATATATACATATAATATATATAAATTACATACAGTATATATATACACTGTATATATATATATTTTTTTTTAAATTCTAAAATAAAAAAATATATATATATCTATATATGTATATATATATATAATATATAATATATATAAAATATATATAAAACTAATAATATATACATATATATGTATATAATGTATATTAATAAAAATAAATAAATATATATATATAAAATAGAATATAAAACTAATATACATATATATTATATAAAATATAAAAAAATAAAATATATATATATATATATATATATATAAAAACTAGATAAATAATAATATATATGTATATATCAAAAAAAAATAAAAAATTAAAAAATATATATATAAAATATATATATATATATATATATATATATATATATATATATATAAAACTAGATAACTATATACATATATATGTATATAGAATTAAAAATAAATAAATAAATAAATAAATAAAAGAAAAAAAATATATATATTATATATATATATATATATATAATAAAAACTAGATAACTATATATATGTATATAGAATTAAAAATACAAAATATATATATATATAAAACTAGATAAGTATATACATATATATGTATATATCTTTTTATATATGTATATATATATAGAGAGAGAGAGTTATATATCTGTATATAGAATTGAAAAAAAAATCTAATATATAAAAAACAATGTATATATATATATATAAGAGATAGATCGATATGAAGTGCTGCCATACAGACACATAGGTGGACCTGTCCTCAGGCATGTGGACTGACCTGTGGCTAGTCTCTGGGTAGGTAGTGTGGCTCTCCCCCCCGGCGGGCACCTACCTCAGTCATGACCCGGTCGGCCATGGTCTTCTCCTCATCCTTGAAGATGATGTCGGGGTTGTAGTTGTGGACCAGCTCCCTGAACCTGTCGGAGTCTCGGTGGATCTTGCCCTCGGTCTTGCCGCTGGCCCCCAGGGTCTTCTCGGGGACGTTGGGCACGAACTGCTTGTAGCGAAGGGGCACCAACTTCCTCAGGTAACGTCTCCGGCCCACCGGCCCCCGGCCAGGTCCGCAGCACCGCACCGGGACCAGGAGGAGCCACAGGCAGGTGAGCAGCGCCAAGATCCGGGCTGAGGGCATCTCCTGTCCGCTCACTGCATGCCGGGCACCCCAGGCTGGCACAGCGCCTCCCCCGCACGATCCTCTTGGTGCACCTGCTGTCCAGGTATAGGGATCAGTGTCAGAGCCGTGGGATGGACGGGATCACTGTGTAATGAAGGAAGTTATGAACTCATCCAGGTCGGTGCCCATGGAGGAGGGAAGGGCAGCCTGTGACAGGTAAGTACACCCTGCTGGGCACAGGCACCTGTCATGTCCTCCCCTGGGTGGCCCCTCGGCTCCTCTACTCCATCCTCCGGACTCTCTGACAGCCCCGGATAATTGCCTCTCCCCGGCCATCGCCAGCTTCATATAGGGACAGGGACAGGAACGTGCACTGCACCCTCCCCCGGGCACGCCCCCAACCCCTCTACTGCAAGACCAGGCGCGCCCCCGACTACACTGTGCACGAGCATGTCAGTAGGACTTTGCCAGCCTGGCTGCTCTTCAGAGGTGTTGGGCCACTTCACACAGCTGCTAGCCGGATTCCTTTTGGAGAATTAAAGTATAACTAAAGGCAGAACTTTTTGTTTTAGTTTGGACAGAGTGCAGAGAGTCTGGAACCCCTGTTAGGTTTTTACCCACTTGCCCCCCTTCCTGACCAGGCCATTTTTTGCGATACGGCGGTGCGTTACTTTCACTGACAATTGCGCGGTCATGCAACACTGCACTCAAATTAAATTTATGTAATTTTTTTCCCACAAATGGAGCTTTCTTTCGGTGATAATTGATCGCCGCTGCGTTTTTTATTTTTTGCGCTATAAACAAAAATTTTGAGAAAAAAAACAATAATTTTGACTTTTTGCTATAAAACCTATCCAAGAAATATCGTCATAATAAAAATCATCATAAATGTATTCTTTGCTAAAAAAAAATTCCAAGAAGTGTATATTAATTGGTTTACGTGAAAGTTATAGTGTTTACAAATGGCGGTATATACACTGGATTTTTTTTCTAGTAGTAATGGCGGCGATCAGCGACTTATAGCGGAACTGCAACGGGCATTGTGACACTGGGGGGAACTGACTAACTGCCACTGACATCTCAAGTGCAGGGGTGGACTGACCATTTGGAAACTCGGGCACTGCCCGAGGGCCCAGGGTTGGCACTAATACAGTGATCAGTGCTAATAAAAAGCATTGACATTGTACTAATGACACTGGGCAGGAAGGGGTTAACGTGGGGCCATCAAAGGGTTAACTGTGTGTTAGGGAGTGATTTTATTGTGTACTGTGTGCTGTGCAGAGGGATAGAAAGCAGCACATCAATGCTGATACGAGAGAGACCTGTGTTGTTACCGAGTCTTCGCCAAAAATCGCCTGCAGGGCCCCAGTGATTGACATTCTCTGGAGCCAATAGCAGCACGGGTAGAGTGGTGCACGTGCACCCCCTACCCGGAATGCGAAATCACGTATATTTACGTGATTTTGCCCAGCGAAGCCGCCCTGTAGCAGTACATCTGCTATGGAGCGGTGGGCAAGTGATTAAAGCTGTCTGTGCCGCAGTTAGGGGAATTCACCCTCACTATCTGTCCTTTTTACCTTCATCACCGAGAGCAAAAGAATATTCCAAATTTTCAGTTGTCACCAGAACAAGAATAGAGAGGAAATCTTCTAACGGGGATGCTAGTTTTGGTGACAACCAGGGATTTCTTCACTTTGGAAGGATCTCCACTCACTTCCTGTTTTAGCTATGGGACAGGAAGTGAAGAAAAATATCCCCAATGGATATCCCCAGATGGCAAAAAACTACATGGGTTAGAAGCCTTCTTTACTGTACTCAAAATGAAAACACGGAAATGCAGGGAACGAAGTTTCGGCACCTCTAGCACTGACTGCATGTAATGACAAGGGGTGCTGGATGGTCTTTTGATGCTGGCTCCCACTGCTATCAATCACAGCCAGTGAGCCAATGTGGAGGGGGCAGGGCCTGAGACACGGCTCTGTGTATGAATGGACTCGCAGGGCAGTGGCTCAGGAGCGAGCCTGCCTAAGTGCTCCCATAGCAGGCTGCTTGATCTGAGGGCAATTGGCAGACGTGAGGGGCCAGGAGCACCGGCAGGGGACCCAAGAAGAAGATTGGGGCTGCTCTGTGCTGAGCAGGTAAGTATGACGTGTTTGTTATTTTAAAAATATATACAGTGGTTATAAAAAGTCTACACACTCGTTAAAATGTCAGGTTTCTGTGATGTAAAAAAATTAGACAAAGATAATTAATCTCAGAACTTTTTCCACCTTTAATGTGACCTATAAACTGTACAACTCAGTTGAACAACAAACTGAAATCTTTTTTGGGGGAAAGTAAACATAAAAGACTACTAAAATATTGTGGTTGCATAAGTGTACACACCCTCTAATAACTGGGGATGTAGCTGTGTTCAGAATTAAGCAATCACATTCAAAATCATGTTAAATAGGAGTCAGTACACACCGGCCATCATTTACAGTGCCTCTGATTAACCCCAAATAAAGTTCAGCTGTTCTAGTAGGTCTACAAAAACTGTAGCTGCTGACTTTTAAAAATCAGCCACTTACCTGTCCCTCAGTCCCGTGGTGTCCTGTATTCCAGGAGGCCGGCATCTTCAGTGTGGCACTCGGCTGTGACAGCTTGCGGCTTCACAGCCGGGTACCCACTGCGCATGTGCGAGAAGCGCTGCGCTTCATGAATGGCCCCGTAGTCTTCTGGGACCTGTCGTGTTCCAAAAGACTACAGGGAGGGAGGGAGGACACCTTCCGTTTCTGATCTCCTAGGCGATCGGACCAGAAGTGGGAGAGGGTACCTGTCAATTACAGGTACCTGCTCCCCCCCCGCCCCCCAAAGGTGCCAATCCTTAATGGGGAGCGGAGGAGCAGTCCTTAAAGCAGAACTTCCCCTTTTTTGTGGAGCTCCGCTTTAAGGTTCCAAGCTTTTCTGCGTTTTTTTTCCGCAGCCCCTGAACTCTCCCTAATTTTTTTCCTGTGTGTCCATATACACATCGTCGTTTACAGTCATTTACAGGCAGTTTAGTTTACAGTCTTTTTTTTTTAACACACCAAACTTGCGTTCAGGAGTAGATTTTATCAGCGTTTCAAACGCTTGTAAATGCATTTAAATGCGGCTAAATGCGTTTATAAGCATTTGGAACATTTTTTTTTAACTCTTCCATTTCCAGATGCTGTCAAGAGCCTTTTTTCATCATGAAAAATACATGCAAAGTGTTTTCCCCATACTCAAATGGACATGGTACACCATACTTTGAGGTTTCACATGAAAGAAAATATGTTAGACACTGCTGTAATAATTTCTGCACAGAAATGAGCTGGAACACATCCAAACACCAAAAAAAAAAAAAAGACGGCTAATCTCAACACATACTGCTCTCTCTGCTTCTGTTCTCTCTATTTCTCTCAAAATGTCTGAAATAGTTAATTATTTACTGTTGTTCAGTGCATTCTGGGCATTTTGGAAGGTCTCTTGAGGTTATCTTTAAACAAACGCTTCTAAACGCAAACGCTCATAAATGCTCATAAACGCACACAAACGAAGTATGCAAACGCGGCTAAACAGAAGTTTTTTAACCTACGTTTTCCAGCAGTCAGTTTCCATCATTCAGAAGTGTTTTCCAAACGTCCCGTGTACATGGAGCCTAAGGATGTGTACACTTATGCAACCATATTATTTAAATTTTTTATTTTTACTTCCCTCCACCTAAAAGATTTCAGTTTGTTGTTCAACTGAGTTGTACAGTTTATAGGTCACATTTAGCCCTGTTCACACTGATGCGGTGCGGATTTCCGCACTGCATCAGAATCGCACCCCGTTCATGTGAACCACTGCAGGTGTATATGTTAACAACACCCCAAAAGCGGTCCGCAAAACGCCGTGCGATGTGCAGAATCGGATTGCATAGGTGTGGATACCTATGCAATCCGATTCTAGTGTGGACCCAAAAAAGGGTCCTGCATGTTTTTGGTGCGGGTGTGGTACGAAAAGAGCCATACAAAATGTATGGCTCCAGTCGCACCACACACAAATCGTATGCGATTTGCACAGGAATGCTGTGCGGTTCCTGTGCGAATCACATGTGATATACTGCACCGCACATATGTGAAGCCAGGGTAAAGGTGGAAAAAGTTCTGAAATGATTTATCTTTGTCTCATTTATTTACATCACAGAAACCTGACATTTTAACAGGGGTGTGTAGACTTTTTATATTCACTGTATATATTGCCCTTAGTATGACTTTATTCACTTACTGAGTATGCAGCTTCTATATCTTTTAATCCTTGCCTATGTTCCAGTTTAACGTGTTAAACCCAAAAGCAAACATTTATTATATTGCAGCTTACCAATTCTTAGATGCAATGGCTGCATTTGTTTTCTTTTTAGGTTTTTCTTCTTCTGTTTTCATCTGGGGATCCAGCCAGTATGTTGGTTGTTTTTCAAAAGAGTAAGCTCTCCTGCTGATGTATCAGTTACAGGGATGAGGCAGACCATTTAATACTAGCAGGGTGCTAGTGCAATGATCAGCTTTTAATTATTTATGTAAAACCATTATCCCAGAAGGAAAAAATGTTTGCTGTAACTGATTATAAAGTATTAGCTGGGGTTTGGTTAGTACATATAATACTCCCCTACCCCCAGACTGACAGTGCTGAAGTCTGCTGTGCCTACTGTGATCATTCATCCAGAGTGGAAGCACACTATTGGAGAAGGTGTGTTCTTGACCAGATCACCAGGTAAACAGTGGGAAAAAGCCCAAAAAAGAAAACTAATGCAGCCATCACATCTAATGATTGGTAAGCTGAAATATATTACATTTCTGTTTTGGGTTTAATACTGCTTTAAGCTGGACCCATGATTGCTGCCCCAAGTTTCCTGTTCCAAGGTGGCTCTGTTCTCTTGCAGCATGCTAGGGAGCCACCCTTACATGCAGAGACTAGACCTGAATCTTCCTAAACTGTGTGCATCAATAGGAACACACAGCCCTGCAGCCTAGGAT